AAGCCTCAACAAATAAGCAAGTGCCTTCTAAATTCCGAAAGAGGCACTTAACACGCACAACTCCTTTGTAGAAATTCGTCATGTAACATAGATATACCAGAGCCAAAACATAAAAAAAGTATCTTGAAAAATTTCTCGGTCGAGGTGAATCTGCTTTTTTCAAAAATTATTTCGAATATTTGAATTCATAAAGAGGAAAGCAGTGTTATAACCGGTTTTGCAATAAAACGAGTTTTTCAATAATCTATTGCAAAACTCGTTGCGATTACAAAGCAGTCCATGTTTGATGATTTAATAATGACAGTAATTACTTGTGCAAATTTAATGTTGTTTTCGATATTTACATGGGCATGAATTTACTGGATCTTCAAAGTTATTGGTGGTCTCTTTATTTTGGACCAATTTTTTAACTCAATAATAAAATTTTAAAATCGGTGTAAAATAATTTGTGGGAGAAAACATGGCTAAACAAAACTTAAATATCTGAGAAACTTTGTTTTCGGAACTCATTTACATTAATTAAATTAGAGCATTTCAGAAACATCCTTTATATTATTTTACTTATTTTAAATAACCAGTGAGATTTCCAGTTTTTAGCTTGTAAAAATGAAAAGTTTACCTATGTAAAGTTATTCCCTTGAAGATGTAACTTAATCTAATTTTAGGCGGCCTTCGGTCAGAAAATTCTATTGAGATTATGACGCTGTCATCCATTAAGTGCACAATTCAAATTAGAGTTTGGTATCTATTTTGCGTAAGTTTAAACGAATAAAATGACAGCATTGTAAACCTTGCTATATTTTATGTTGCTTTAGTTTACAAAACAAATGTCTGTTGATCTAGCAATATGGTTAGTAGTGATTAATTTCTCTTTCAACCAGATATTAACATAGTTTATTACTTCATTTTCTTAATTTGATTATTTTGGCGCCGTTCTGTCGGGTTTTGGTATTGAATTTTACTCTGCTTTTATAGAAGCAACTCAAACACAAATTTTACATCATAAAAGATAATAACCAGTCTTTTGCTGCCAATTTTGAAAGCGATTAATATTATGATATTTGTTAAAAAAAACGTTTACAAAATGGAAGATCTTCTCAAGACTATAATTGAATAAAGATGCAAAATAAATGCAGTTAAACATGTTACAACTGACAAATTACTCCACTACTTACGATAATGTATTCACCTGTGTACATTGACTGGGGTAAAATTATACCAATTTGGTGAAAAGCGATATCTTAAATTTGCGATTGCCTCTAAATAAACAACACATACTCTACCTGTAAACAAATAACAAATACACGTATTTGAAATCTTAGTTTTGGAACTTTTGAAATATTTACCCATGCATACAAAAGAGAGAATAAAACGTTTTCATAAATTTATTGAAAATCATATCTGATTATAATGCCATATAATTAAAATCTCTCATTTTTTTTTTAAAGAAGATTTAAGGAACTTTATCAATGTTTGTATTGATGTTGTAAAATCAAAATCAAAAGGTGTCACCCCCCCCCCCTGAATGCACACGCACACTGCATTTGTACCAACATTCAAACATTTCTCTTTACATAAGCTTTCTGTCTATTTTGAGAAGATTCCATTCAGTGTATCGGTGAAGAATATTCTTTTACATATATCCCGTTTTCTCGTATTATCACGGGGCCACGGCTTAACTGGCATAGATGAACCTTACATAAAATTTCTAGACAGTGACTAAAATTTTCCCTTTTAGACATTATGAACCAAGAAAACACAATATCTGAAAAAAGCAAAAAGATTTTTTTTCTATTTGTGAAGACCGACCCTAGATGAGCAAGATACTTTCTCGTATTGTCTGGTGAGCTTATGTTTTGCTGAGGGCTGTTCGCTATGTAATGGTTTTATTGTACAAATCACCTAAACTAATTAGTACCACTTAATTAAGTTACAGTATCATAAAATGTTTGTGTTTTATTATGCAAAATAACTTAACTATAGTATGATTAAAAATAAAGATGAGATTTAAAAATTATTCTGGGTTTTTTGAAATGTTCATAGAATATTACTTTTACATGCTATCGTCACATTTATATCGGAATGCTTACGTTTTCGGATTCCAGGGTGCCAATTTCATCTGTTTTAAGCATGTCCCGACAATACAAGTGACACTGATAATACGAGAAACAGGGATATGTGACGAACCACAATTACTTTGCCGCGTCAGTCAGTCCGTAACAAAATACTTTGTCCATTCTAAAAATCAAACCTCTGGTTTGCTCAAATGTTCATCTTCAAAGGCAATGATAAATGTACCATCATAGAATCATGTAGAGAGAATTGTTCACTCCTTTGGCAATTTTACACGATACCAAATGTTATTTCGGGCAGTTTACTTCTTTTCTGAGGAACAGTTTAATTGTTGACGTTTGTCAGCTACGTAATAATTTTATGTATAATAAATGGAACCAAAGGGCCACTGAAATGTTTGCATTCTTTGCTTTTTACTAAACACCTTTAAACCGTAACAGTTTTTATGTCTGAATTAAGAAAATCATAACTGTCATAATATTTGTTTGTCAGTAAAGCCCACTCTGATCAATTTTGTCATAACGTTACGGTAAACAATGTCATGAAAAATAATGCACACATCAATAACCTGGTAGAAGAAATTTACTTAAATATATGACCCAATGGAACAATAAAGTCTGCTGAATAAAGGATGTTTTAGCTAATACAAGTGTTATCAAGCACAACGAAATTAATTTATAAAGACAGCCACTTTAACAGTATATGCTGTATCTATATACTGTATATTGTCCCTTTTCAATTAATTTATTCAACTGTAATTTTCGGCCAGAGCCTTATCACCACCAGAACAGTTACATTCAAGCTAGATATTCAGACAGAAGGATGTGTATAAGCCCCACTCAATACACACATTCACACTTAAATGTGGTGTTATTAGAGAGGGAGTAGCTTAAGTATTGAAAACATTTAATTTAAAACGATAAACAAATACAAAAATCTCACAACAGGCATTGAAATTTTAAGGTGAACACTGTGGCGTCATAAGTTACACATTGAACGTTATGCAGCAAAAATCACTAACGGTGAATCTTTACAACTATAAAAAATAGTATGAAACCGTACGAAATACTTTGTTTTGCATGTACGATTATAACGTAATTGACTCATGGACATGAACTGTCATAATAAACCTCTCTTAGAAATATCTAATATCGTGTTCACTCTTATGCCTTGATCTAACTATGTATAAAAAAAACCTCCTGTCTAGAGTTATACTTCTCAAAGAAGTCTCATGTATCAGATTACCCCGATTTACTTTGACAAACATTATTATTGATCTAGATCCAAAGCCAAACAAGTTTTAGAGGTTTTATTTAAGAATATTGAAACTGAAAGTATTCTAGGAATGACATGACTGACAATGTAGGAAAATAATGCAACACCAGACATCTTACGTTCTATGATATTAAAACAGTAAATGTATTTAAACAGAAAAATAGAATTATTGTCTCGAAACGTTGCGTAAAGTAACAGTTTATAAGTAGTGAATTCTATTAGATTTATGTATAGAAATTGAAACATACATGATGCCCAAATGCTTAATCTCAAGATACCTAAAATACAAAATTGTATCAAGTATAAAAATGGTTAAAGGCACGTCGGTTGTTCTACATAGGTGCAAGTTTGTGCCTAAAATAATGCACGGAAGGGCACTTGAGGTATCTCTCCACCAGTAAAGCTTGAATGCAACTTTTTTGCGACGTTAAACCCAGCACAACGTATCAGTTGTGGCCTTTAAAGATAAATAGATATTTAGTGATTTACATGAATAAGACACAACTTGAACCATACATAAGTAACACCTTCTTGAATATACATTGATGATTTTCATTAGATATAAATTTGCTTGCAAGCTTATCAAGGAAAGGTTTGATAAATCAGCATTTTACTTATTCTATATTTGATAAAACCCCAGGTTATGAAGCTTGTTACAATTTATCAACATTGGTTGCACATTAAGCAAAGATAAAAATTTAGAAGAACAAAATAATGAATTGTATATAATTAAAATTACCTGAAAGTTTAAAGGAAATGTGTTTTGTATTTGAAATATAACATTGACAAATAGGAATTATTTAATACAAGACGTTTATGCTTGTGTTAGATATTATGTATGTTCTTGTAAAATTTGCAATTACATAATGAATCGTTTTGTTCTTAAATTCTGAGTTCGATTAGAAATCAATATATTTCCAATTAATGGCAGAAAGTAGTGATTGATACAAAATACCGTATTTATAGCTGCAGAGCATCATAACGTGCATGCAGTTTGAAATGAAAGTTAATATTTTGTTCTTTTTCTATCAATTTCGTTGACGTTGAAATAATTCAATCTTAAGATTTAAGCTATATAGTAATAACAGGTCATAAACAAAAAATTAACGCACTTAAAGTAAAAAAAACTTATGGGAAAAACCTAGGTACTTTAGATCAGAGAGCTTCACTTGTAGAAGAGTTAGCGCTAATGTAAAAATAGGAAATAACTTCTGCCAACAGTTATTTGTACCTTCATGTCAACTACTTAAATCTGCAACAGGATGTTTCTACTTTAAGTTTGGTGACTGCTATTATCCGGCGATTTTTACACTTACTTTGTTCTATATATTATCTCTGGTGTCTAATTGTGTAGTTATCTGTAAAGTTTTATTTGGATTGATCGTACACTAGGAACAGTTCGTATAATACCTATTACATAACCTTTAAATGGACAAAGAAATTAGATTTAGACGTTCGAAACATAGAATCCTTGGTGATTAGTACAGCCATGTATTTTTTGTAAAAAATGGATAGGAAATAAGTCATATCGAAGGAACATATGGTGTAATTTTGTTAATCGAGCATGCTATGATACTCATCCGTTGTAACACGTATATAGTGAGTAGTTCATGATGTAACCGCGCACTGGACTGCTTGTTTAAATAACGTAATGCACCTTAGTGATATAAATATTTTGTTTTGCGAAATTTGTAAACTAAACAGTGTAGAAAATAATCTAAAAACGTTTCGCTTGTACTGTCAAAATCAAACACAGCGTTTTTCACAATAGATGTGCATACGTTTATTAGTTCAGTTATGATACAACATTATGGTGGAATGCTTGGATTACGTCTTTTGTTTTTGATTTTTTAAGTAATATATTCATTGCGCGTTTAACTAAACAGAATCATGCATAGTAGGTAAGAATTTATTCTTTTAATTTTATCTATATCTCTTTAGTGAGTTTGTTACTCTTTGAGATAAAAGGATTTACGAACAAGATAATCAAGTTTTAAATTTAACATTGATTAATAATGAAAAGTGGATATGGTATCTGGTCACGTAAATTAAAACTATGTGACCTTAAATCATTACATAATCTCTATTTTTTTTTTTTTTTTTTGCTTTGTTTTCGCCTGGTTTGTTACGAGATTAAGGAGCAGTGCCGATATAGACAGTATAAAGGTTTATACAATAAACCCGTTTGTTGTAAAGTAAATATATCTATCTTAATGTTTCAAATAACCGATGGCAAATATGTGTCAACAGTGAACATAATTATTCAACGTAATTACTACAGTAACATGAGAGTTGGATACAAGTTTTATCAATTTATTTATTTATTATAGTCTCATCTGTGCACACTTACATATATTTCAACATAAAAGATAAACATTATAATGTATTGTAGCCATTCTTTGAGTAGAATTACAAGATACTTAATATATTTTACATATTATACAATGTTATGTTATAGGCATAAAATACATACACATATATAATCAAATACATTACAAAATAAAAAAAATGCATATTAAACATTACATGATATCAACTGTAAAATCTGCCAACAGCAACACCTTTAATAAAAGCTTACTATAAAAAAGGAAAAAAATATAGGTTTTCAAAAAAGTGTGCATCTTAATAGTGTTATTGGTCTAGATGCTTTCTTTGATTATGGAGTGTACTAATTAGCAGAATTTACTTTGTTAATACAGAATGCAACTCAATATAGGTTGAAACATGGTAGGTCATATTTAAACCGATATAAAATACAGTCCAATTTTTTTAAGAGATAAAATATGTCATAACAAGTCAATTTGTAGAGATAATTATTACAATATTGATATACACAAACATCCGACTTTCACTAAAAGGTAAACAAAAATTAAGTGTTTATTAAAATATTTTTTTAAAATTTGACTGAAGACATACCAATAATTTTAAGTCTATTTTGTGTTAACTTTACATTGCTACTATACATAGTGTTATTTTGAAGTTTCAATATATACCAGCAGCGTTTTTTTTGCTAATGTCCGTGTCATTTCTTGGTGGGTAAACAAAAAAAATGAAAATTTTCAATGTCATTTAGTAATTCAAAATTTGTATTTAACATAACTGCCCTTTTTCTTAAAGTAAATTGCTATCAACAGAGTAAGTTGGACATTTCAATAACACATGTATTTCGTTTTCAACAATCTTTGCATATTGGACACACCCTTTCAGATTCAGGTAATCTTTCATAACGTCCAGTTTCTAGTAAATGATAATAAATGAAAATTTATTATTACAGTGACCGGTAATTAACATATTTAATTGCAGGAACAAAAACATAAATAAATTAAAAGAAGAATAAAGGTAAATAAAGGTAAATGCTGTAAAGTTGGCTAGGCCGAGTCTATCTTTGAGAGATGATAAAAGTGCAACATCTCAAATGACTTTAAGATATCGTATGAAATTCTTGAAATTGCATTTAAGCACGGTATGCGAGCGCTAAACATTTAGTTATTTCATAATGGGTTTGCACTACTTTTATTTCAGAAGTTAAACAACAATCAAATTCTCTTTATGTCTTTATTTCAATATAATAACTGGATAACTTATGGCACCGTTTTGTCGGCAATAAGCATTCAATGTTTAAATGCCTTTATTGTAACCATTCAAACACGATGGCTTTGGTTTTGTTGTGAATGTTTTTACGCTCATTTCTTAATCCATCGGGATTTGAACGCTTTATAGAAACTTGTGTAAACATCAATCAATCAAATAGATAAAGAATTGATTTCGGTTATACCATTTTAATGATGTATATGTCAATTTTCTGAGCGAATTGCATTTTTTCTCCTTAATTATATTTAACTACTACGTATGTTTAGTTTCAATACATTTCCCACAATAAGTCTGTTAAACTGAGTGATCACAAAAGCGGGACTAATTTTAACCTTTGAGCTAGATTTAAACTTTCCTGTGATGTTTTGTCAAAATGTAACATATTATAAATGAGAAGAAACGACGGACCATGCATCACTCACAACAAACGTCATCACAGAGCACATTTCATGAATACTATCGTTTTGCCAGCAGATATGATTAACCATTTAATGTCTTATTTCAAATATGGGTCTTTGTTCTGTCAAAGATTTTCGATAGACAGCAAATATGATTGGAGATATTATTCTTCCATTTTATATATAAGAGCAGCTACATTTACATATTGTAGTTACATAGAAATCAGTGTTTAAATTGTCTTTATTTTATTTATAATTGTTAAGTTAATGTTAATAAACATTAAGGAAAAATTTAGAAAATTGGTTTCTATTCTCTATTAAAAAAGCGTAAAGCCAAAAAGGTTAAAGAATAATAGTTTAAAATGAGTAGTTATTTTATTTATTTGAGTTTTAAAAATCTCTGTTCCAAAAGAACAATTGATTGCTGAACGTGTATAAACAGTGTGAAACTGTTAAGCATAGATTGTGGTGTTGAAATATAGATCAGGAATGCATATTGCTTAACTGGTAATAACAACTATTATATATTAACACAGTGAACTTTTTAACCTAATTACAATATAAAATTATCGTGAACATACTTTATCAAAGGGATTTATTTACACGACATGCTTTTACCTACTTCTCCTTTTACTACTTGTGAAACACCATGGATAATTCAAATGAAATAAATTACTATAAGAATGTTAGCTGTTGATTAAACTTTATAACAACATTATTGTATACATAAATATATAAATGTACAATGTAAACTAACTCTACTGCTCTCAATGAAACATTCGATTTGGACATGTATTCATATGCAACCACTCACTTTACCTTACAACTATTTTTATATTAATAAATTATGTATTTAATACCACTAGTATTTACTAGATAGGCATAACAATCAAAATGGCAATAATAGTTTACAATGTTGATAGCCGCACGATAACATTTTGACATCGCATAATATATACACCCATTAACAGCACACACCTAGATTATTTTAGCTTTCCTTATTACGTATAAAAACAAGCTGAAATATTTGTGGGATTTTATGGTGTATTATAGATAAATTGTTTTTCATTGAGAGGGAAAAATAATACTTTATTATAATAATTTTACTGTGATCAATTTCTCATTAAGTGAGATGATAAAGTAATTTGCGCTGTTTCATAATATGATTGTGTTATGTAGGCACCGTTCTGTCGTGTTTTGGGATATGTTTTTTTTTTATTAATTTATTTTGTTAAAGCCCCTTTCTTCAAATAAGATTTGCAATTCAAAAGTATCAGATGTGTATGATTTGGAAAGTTTATCATCTATTTACATCAGTTAATTAAATCAAACAGGTTCGATCACCCGGAGATGCTTTGGTAGTTTAGCGCGGAGGAAGGTAGTCTAGTACTGGTGTAACTCTCCAGGAACGATGGTTAGGAAACAACCCGCCTATATGACTGAAATACTGTTGGGAAAAGGCGTAAAAATGAAACAAACAAACAAACAAACAAAAATCAAACAGGCCCATCATCGTTTAAGTGTGTGATTTATGGAAATATAATGGGTTTTCGTTTTTCTTTTATAACAAATAAAATTTCCCTATAATTTATTTGTTTATTTATTTCCATACAAAATGAATCAAACTTGTATCAAATGACATTAATTTACGAAAGTACATTCTGAAGTCGGGAGGTCCTTTAACAATTGATGTTAGTGAAATTGTCTGACAAATTTACTATAATACGGCTCCTAGTAATTTCATTTCTTCAGAATATGTTGTTGAATTTTTTGTATTTGAACACGGAAAATTGATTCTGTTGCCAGACAATTCAATTGCAATATATAACTTATATCAGTGTATGTGCTATATTTTACAACGTTTTAAGATACAAATTTCTATTTGTATGTTTGAATGAATGTTCAGTTGTTTTAAAAATTCATATGAAATTTTGATTAAAATGTTTCCCTTTTCGATTTAGATCGACTGTTCAAAACCATACGACCGGGCAATATATAGATGTTGTATATTTGTAAACCAACTGTGTAGAAACCACTTCTTATTTATTAGAAGTGACCGTAATGTGTCTCAAAAGTATGCAAGAAATTCTTGGCTTGTCTGATATTCCTATATAATCACAAGAGTTAATTGGCACTCATTTACCTTTTGGCTTTAAAGGGACTTCAATGAGTTTTTCTGACATGACGGGACTAGAAATAATTTTCTGAAATTACTGTTCCTTTTGATGTAGGTCGAGACTAATAAAATGTATGCAAATCTTGAGATCATTCATTCACTCCGTTTTTCCAAAATAATTAATCTTATTTTGAAAAATGAGTCAAAATTGAAAAGATTACAACGATTACCACTCAAATCGAGCTTAAAATAGCACAAAATACGTTGTGTCTTTTTTTCAATTTATTTCTGAGTATATTTCCTAATAATCTCAAGCATATTATTCTGTTTTAAATGCTCCAGCTGATCTATGTCTGAAAATCAAATATTATATATTTTTTACATTTGAACCTCAGTTCCTTTAAATATGGTGTTACTGATTATTATCATCCTTTTCTTTCACATTTATTTTTGCAGATATGTCAACGGTGAACTTGCAAGAAAATATAATAACATACGTTAAAGGATGACAGAAAAAAAGTCATATGAAGGATTGAGGTCAGTGTCATCGCTTGTCATAAGTTAATACACTTCTTATAAAATTTCAACATATAGTATATTATACAATTATTGACTAGTGAGCCATTGAATATGATGTGATTTTCACCGACAGATGACAGATGTGTATGCCGGTGAATATCACATCATATTCAATGGCTCACAAATTTAGAAGAACAAAACAATAAATTGTATATAATTAGAATTACCTGAAAGTTTAAAGGAAATGTGTTTTGTATTTTAAATATAACATTG